ACTTCCCTCTGAAATAACGCTCCAAAAAATATAAGATATTCAGATAATCTACACACTTTAACGAGATGTCTGTGCCTTAATCCGAATACTCACTGGATAAGACTTTTAGTTTCCTCATCCTTCCCGGACAACTTTCTCTATTGTACGGAAGTCGAAGCCCGTTTGTGCACAACCATTCAAAATCTTTAGACTCGAGATAAGTTGAAAGTCATTTATAAGTGAAATATTTGACATATTTCTGCGTCGATTTTTATTAGCTGTCGAAAATAACACATAAATGCATTACACTCTCCCCATTGAACCATGACTGACGTTACGTTTGCTATCGACAAAGTAGATCTTTCGGCGATCGTCCGTTTACAAAAGTTGATCGAGAAACATGAACATATTTTTACGATTCTCGATTCACCAAGAGACTCAAATAGATTCACGAACAACCTAACGAGCCTACCACAAGTTGAATCGATTATATACTTAGTTTCGTCAGAAGTCACGGATAGATCGAAACGCAGGCTCAATTTAATTATCCGCAATATACCCCACACCGTTAATCCGACGCTATCAATTCAAAATTTTATACATTCTTATGGCTTAAAAATCAGAGTAGCTAACACTAAAAGACTTCACTCCAGAAGCAAAAACAAACCCGTCTTAGTAGCATTCTACTCGCAGGCGGAAGCTGAGATTGTCCTACAAAATCCCGAAGTAAACAGAAATCTGCAGAACCTAAACTCGTTTATTGAACCAGATTTGACACCTATGCAAAGACGTAAACTTCGGGAAAAAGACACCAGCTACAAATACGAGAATCAGCACTCCGGTCCCTCAACTGAACCTTTAGCTACTACTTCTACTTCTAGCACTAATAAAAAGAAATACACAGGCCATTGTAAACCAAGTGATAAACCCACAGCCCCCGCAGAAGTACCTCCAGCAAGTACGTCTGACTCTAATTCTCATGATAAAAAACGCGCAACTGCAAACGTGTTTAGGACTGCTGGTCAGAAACAAACGAGGAAGGCACAACAAAATAACAACGTTCAACCAGAACAGAACGTTGATGCAGATCCCGGACCGAGTCATGTGACACCCTTAGATAGCAGTATAAGTTTTACTACATCCCCCAAGACCGATCAGTCAGTACTAGAAAACGACTACCAAACACGACACATAAATCAAAAGGCCTTACTAAGCACACGAACACAACTGAAACGCCCTAGGTATGTTGACATAACAATTAGAAGCCCACCAAACTCTAACCAAAAACAAACAAGCTTCTATAACGGCATCTCGACTCCCCAAAATCCACCTGCATGGCATAGGAATAAGCCAAATCACTCTAGCATTCCAAACTCCCTACCACCTAATTACAACCCTACAAATTACTTTGGCTTATACACCTCCCCAACTGAAACTCCATTTACGTACAATTACCACCTAGTTAACGCACCTCCCCATATGTACCCTCAGTCCATACACACTAGCCCATGAACTCACACTACGCCATACGCATCACAATATCCTCCAAGAATCACACACCTACCTCCATCTAGTCCATCACTCACTCAAAGTACCCCCAGAAATCCTTTTTTTCACCACAGCCCACCTCTTCCATATCCAACATCCTAAAGATAGCTCTTATAAATTCCAGATCGATTGTCAACAAAATATCCCAACTTAGAACTTTTGTTGAAATATATAACCCCGATGTAATTTGCATTACAGAAACATGGGCAAATGAGCTTTTATCGAATGCTTCACTATACGTCCAAAATTATAATTTCTATCGACAGGACCGTGTTAATAAACGAGGCGGAGGTTGTCTTATCTACATCAAAACTACCATTGAGCAAAGTGGTATTGATGTCCCAACCGAAACCTTTGCTGGAGAAGCGTGTTTATTGCATAATTAAATCTCATGCCCAGGAAAGCATACTAGTCGGATGCCTCTACTCCCCTCCAGAATGTAGTAGTGATGACACAAGCCTCAACCTCTTAATAAGCAATATAGCTAACATAAAAACTGAATATAAGATAATTGCAGGCGACCTAAACCGCCCAGAACTAGACTGGGTCGAATTATAAGCACCTACCAGGCACTTAGAATTCTTGTCTTCAATTATCTTTAATAACTGGACACAGATAGTTGACAAACCCACCCGAGGAAACAATATACCAGACGTTATTTTCACCAACGAAATCTGGCCCCTCTATATGCACTACGACTGCGCAAACTTTGACAGTGACCACAAAGCAATAAAATAAACACTTCCCTTAAACGCAAAACTAGCGCACCATTTTAGTAACACCCGCCTAAACACCCAAAAAACTTGACGAGGACTCCATGAACAATTATATTAGATCATTGGACTGGAGCCCATATCTTCTTACAACATCCCCTATGGAAGCAGTTAACCTATTATACTCTGTCCTATTTGTAATTCGAGATACCTTGATAGACGAAAGACTCCCGTATAAGAAATCACAAATCCCGAACTTCCTTTCAACTAAACTAAAAAAGCTACAAAAACAGCTACGCGACCCCTCTGTAAGTTATTTTTCCACACTTCGAGGAATTAGGGAAATTCACGACCTAGTCACGAAAATAGAAACACAAAAGATCATAGCAGCAGAACACCGGGCACTAGAATCCCCCGAACGAACAGCTCAGATGTTTCAGAAACTAATGAGTAACCATCGACAATCAGGATCACGAACTATTATTAATGAATTAGGGCAAGTTATACCCAATGATAAAAAAAAAGTAAACTTATTCAACAGATACTTCTCAGATAACTACACAGTCAAATAGGGAACCATCCCCCAACCGACCGAGATGACTGAACGCATCCTTAGTGAGATCCATTTTAGTGAAGAAACTGTTAAAGTAGCCATCAAACAACTATCAAACACCAAATCCTATGGGACAGACAAAATCCCACCATGTATTCTGAAGCATATGACATATGCTCCAATACTCCTATCTAAGTTATTCACCCTACTCCACTCAAATGCAATCTTTCAGGACATGTGGAAATACTCGACCATTGCGCCCATATTTAAAAGCGGCAACCGATCTCATACCCAAAACTATCGTGGAGTTCACCGAACACCGGCTATAGCTAAAATCGTCCAGAAAATAGTATATAACCAATTGCTAGACCATCTCATGAACGCCAACCTCATTCCCTCCTCTCAACATGCATTTTTACCCAAAAAGTCATGTCAGTCCTGTCACCTTACTTTTTTGGAATTCCTTTCCAGTAATAGAGATGATTGAAACACAGTAGCTTCAATATACTTCGATCTAAGAAAGGCCTTTGACAAAATCCCCCATAAAAGACTACGGATAAAGCTAAAAAGTCATGGGATTTAGGCCACCCCTTCTCGATTTTTTTTAATCTTATCTCCAAAACCGATACCAGGTGGTGCAAATTCGAAATGTCGTCTCAGAACCATCCCCTATTACCAGTGGAGTACTTTAAGGCACTATCCGAGGCCCCCTTCCATATCTTATATATATTCACGACTTATCGTCCATATCTGTCTCAATTAAAACGTTTCTATATGCGGACGACCTTAAATTGCATATACATATAACGGGAATACAGTAGCCAATATTCATAGAACAACTGAATCTGATTTCAGAAAACTCAGCGAATGAAGTAGACAGTGACAGATGCCCTTTTCACCCGAAATATGCCATCTCCTGATATTTTGCCCACAAAAACTTCCCCCATAATATTCGAGGATAATGAAATAACAGAGGCCCAATGGGTAAAAGATTTAGGTCTCAGCTCTACAAATATCCTTGATTTATCTCCCCACGTCCAGCAAATATCACCGAAAGCCACTCGCCTGTGTGGATTCATATGTAAAAATTTCACCTTAAATGCACTAAGAATACAACTGTTCAAAATGTATGTTTTACCTCTACTAGATTACTGTTCAATTTTGTTCGGCATAATGCCCTCAGACGGCCGAAAGAAACTAGAAGGCATTCAGAGACGTTTTACAAGATCTTTGTCTAGAAGTGATGGCATCCAGGGTTCATAATTAGAACTATATCATAAATACGGTCTTCGACCACTCTGGATCAGAAGACTTCAAAATGGTCTAAACTTCCTATTCAAGGTCACCCACGATTAAGATATTCTTAAAATGAATTTACCTACCAACCAAAACGCCCCTAGAAACACCAGAAATAGCGAGGATATTATAAGGATTCCCAAATTCACAAAGTCCTCACGGTCAAATTTCTACACCATAAGATATGCGACTATCTGGAATTCTCTTCCAGGTTATATCCGGAAAAGTCCATTCCAAATCGAATTTAAAATAAAAACTAAGAAATTCCTTTCAAATAACAGCCCTGCCAGCAGCAGCCCCGCCTAGCCCCCTCAATAATGACGGGGCTAGAGGGGGCCATGAGGGGGCTAGGCGGGGCTATGGAGGGGGCTGTGGCGGGGCATGCAACGCGATAGCCCCTCCTAGCCCCGCCAGCGAAAAAAATGCGCAGGGGACGCCACATCCCCGCCCACTTTTGGCACCACTTTAAAATATCGTCCTGTATAACGAGTCCCCTGAGGCGCAATGCCTCACCGTTCCCACAGGTTACATGTCGGAACCCACCCTGCGTACGTAGAGTACTACGGTATTACATAGTACTCACAGTGACCCCGCCGTACACGTGCCCACTAATCAGCAGCCAATATCAAATACACGCGACGCAAATTCATGTGAATTAGTTATATATTGTATAAACGAAAAAGGAATTGGAAAATATGTACAATCATAATAAATGTCAGTGCCAGTATATACATGGACGTCAAAATATGTTATGCTATTCAGTTGTGCGTTCCAAAAGTCCCCGCTTCGACGGCTGGTGCTTCAGTGATAGCCAGAGTAATTACGCTTCATAATTGATTTGGACATTCAGTAAAAAAGGATAAACAATTTGTATAAGTGGACTACGAACACCAAGGCTAAATACTACATACATGGACATACAACTCGTCTACTTGAACTGGCTGGTGAGTAGATACATAAACAATTAGCATAATATACATAAATGAACTAAGACAGCTATCAAGAGCATGAAAACAGCATTGGCTGACTCACGATATTATCTGCAATCGATTGTCAAATATACGAATAAATAACACACACAGATTCTAATCCGATGGACAAATGAGAGTTTACGCAATGAGGGACTTAAACAAAACCTCAGTATATTGTGCTCATCCGCAGCTACATTCAGTGGGCGTAAACGGATGCTTTCTCCATGGTTTATAAGCCAATTTTGATAAATTAGCTCCTTAAAATTCCAAAGAAGGTACAATAATTGGTGCTTTTGGAACATATCTTTCGATGCAAATACGCTTCAAAAGGCTTCAATCCAGAGGGGGCTCTGGCCCCGCCCAGCCCCCTCCAGCCCCGCCTATGAAGGGGCCATGTGCTGGCAGGGAGTTCACATTTATTTTTAAATAAGATAGACATTTTTCAAGTCAATTCTTTGATATTGAATTTGGTCCAAAAGGGCTCTGATGATGCCAGCCGATTGAAAAATACCGGAAGGTAGCACTAAAAGTAATCAAATCTATAAAAGATAGCATCATTGATAAACATAGAACAGATAATGATATTCTTCTATTTTCCTCCCTTTCTCGTTTTCATCAGCTATTTCACCTGACACTTAATATCCCTTATAAAGCTAATAAAAATATACACTTCGATAAAACCCTGCGTATAAGTCGTGCGTATGTCTATATTAAAGCCATATTAAATACATATAGAACTATATTAGGTCTTAGTAAACAGTCCCCCACTACTCTTATAATTTCACATTAAGAAGAACAGTATGATACATGATTAAATAGTATTTTGACAGTTTTGATTGCGACTTACCATTGAATGGTTCTTACTCCTGATATATATTCATCTTTTCCAGCTCTTAGTCCAGAAAACGATGGTTAGCCTCCTGAAAAACACGTAGGAACTGTGCGACCGCCCCCTTACAGCTGGCCAGATAGACTGACATCCAGCAACTAGAGCACACCGAAATTTACCCAACAGGAAAATAATTTCAAGGTCAGCCCGATATCAAAGGACATAGTATTCATGCCCCCGAAAACTACCAAACTGCAAACTTCAAATTTTATATTGTACATATCGTTATTTTTTTGAAAATTTGTTATTATTTTCCCTTAGAACAAAGATTTTTTTAACTTAAAACAAACTCTCAATTCGCGCTCTTTAGGCTAACCAGACACCCAAAGCAAATGAAGTCAAAGTGCAGTTTAAATTGATAAGTTTGTTTTAGGTTAATTTCCTGAGTTCAAAGGTGACTGACAGTACCCAAGGGGCGCTACAATAAACCTATTCTATTCTATGACACTCAGAATGGACCACCGGGAACTTAGGACGCTGCCATTAAATTTCTGTATCCGTTCACATTTCCTTCTTTTGTGCGTATTATCACTTCCTAGGGTCCCTCATCAGAAATGTTAACTTCTTCGATTGTAAAGTTGATACATCGTGCCCCTCACAGAAAAAGCTCTATCGACACTGTTGGCGGAACCTTCTGTATTTGCCATATACTAGCAGTGTGGTCGCATTTCCATGACCCACTACCTGGGCTGGACTCGGCGCCGATCGCCTTCAGACTGGTTTTCTGTTCACCACTTTGGCATGATTGGCCTCGTCTGGCGTATGAATTGTGCCTTGATAATTCCCGTTTGGAAACTTTTACACAAGACCACATACAGGCCATAATAATAAGTATTATTATTATTATTACTATTCATCTACGAACGTTCGTTTAATGTCAGAGAAAACGCTGATGGCCTTTTCGACGCCCAAAACAATCAGGAGGAGGGCTTTAGAGTCGCATAGCCTGTTCAGAACTTTTTTCAGGGCCCAGTCATTATTGTCCCCGTTGATCGCTTGCCATAACTTGATGTCACCAGCAAACGTGACGAAATTGAAATCCAGTCCATTTATACAGTCGTTGACGTAAATTAAAAACAGTACTGGTCCGAGCACATAGCCCTGGGAAACTACACTTACAACTGGGGTTGCCTTCGCACTACCAATAGACGCAAACGTTGATTGGTCAACCAGAAAGTCCTTTTCCCAGTTTAATAGACTTCACTCTGACCTTGGAAATTAACCGGTGGTGTGAAACACTATCAAAGGCTTTCTTGAAATCGACGCAGAACGATATCGACCCCTGTTCCCTCGTCCAACGAGCGGAACAAATGCTCCATTAAGCAGAACATATTTGTTTAGCAGGAGTGATTTCATCGACAGCCGTTTTGGGAAAAAGCAAAGAAATTTTTTTCTTCTAGGAAATTTGAAATGGCATTTTGATTATTCTCTCCATAACTTTGCAACAAATGCAAATTGATAGCACATGTTCTAGATCCATCCTTGTGAATGGGGCATATGTTCGACACTTTCCGATCTGAGGGTAGAATGCCTCGGCCAAAGGATGGTTTGAAGATATGTAAAAACGGTATGGTGAGTTCGAAAGACAACTTATTCTGAACTTCTGCCAGAATTTGGTCTGGATCCGGAGAAATACATTCCTATAATGCTAGACGTTCCATCCTCACATGTTCATCCGTGAATTCAATGTTTTCTATTATTTCGTCGATGGGTCCAGCAGGCAAACTAGACTCGCCAAAGTCCGTCTCCTCGGTGAAAACAAATGAGAAGAACTGGCTAAGATAATATGACGTAGCGTCGTTTTCGATGATATACTGATTTCTATCTCCCTTCAACACTTAGACTTTCTTCTCGATCTTTAACCTGCTGTTTATGCAACTGAAGAGCTCTTATGGCTTCTTGACGGCCCGTCCGAAAACTCGCGTATCATTCTCCTTCCGCCTCTTGCAGAGAGCCAACCTTAACTCTTTCCACTTTCGACAAAACTGCTCGTAATGAAATGGATGTTTTGTTGTTGCATATAATCTCAACAGTTTATTCTTCCGGTTTACCTCTTTCCTGATATCCCGCGCTATCCATGCGGGACGATTAAACTTTTTGAATATCTTTGCTGGACAATTACGATGCGTAACTTTAGTCAAATGTTTTTGGAAGTTTCAAAAAACATCTGCATGTCGGATAAGCACGTCATGCCATTTCACTGCCGATAATCCACTTTTCGTGGCGACAAAATCTCCTTGCCAGAAATCCATCCGAGGGTCAGTCGTGTTCGTTCCCTGGCTACATAGGGGTTATTCGGTAAGCAGCATGACATTGTGACTCTTACCGGACGGTGCTATTAATCTTTGTTCGCAAGGACTAAATTGGTCTTTTGTAATGACGAAGTCCAGACAATTTGCTCTTTGGTCCTATCTGATCCTGGTCCGGACTGTGACATTTTGTACTAGAAAGGGATTAGCCGTTAACTTTGAGAGCCTGTAATCACAATGAATTTCGCAAACCAATTTACAATAAATTGTTCCAGTAGATCATGGGCGCGTTGAAGTTTCCGGTTATCATTAGCTCATAGTTTTGTGACACATCTTTAATTAACCCAAACAACGCCTAGTCAAACTCAGGAGCTTGATTGGGCGGCCTGTATACTGTCAGAAAACTCAGATCAGGTGCACCACACATTCACAGTTTTTACCATAGTTTGATGTTCCCTTTTCGAATGATGAAATTTATCAATTTCTCTCAAATAAAGAGGAATGAATTTAATTTGAAGGAGCACAAATCTATCGCATACATGTGAATGCGCATAGTCACTTTCGACTCTGCTATTGGATGCAATGGTTCCGCTTCCGCTGAGATGCATGATAATGTAATCGTTAATTCTAAGTTCTAGTCTATTTAACATCTGCAGCCAAATTGTCGTCCTTGTATCGGTGTACTAAAACAGTTGGAGGTCGTGAGGAATGTTTATATATGAATATGGAAACAAAACTAGAGTGTTGGTTAAGCATTTATGGAGGTGTAGATCTCGACCTCTGTGTGTGCCACACTGGGGATATTGCTCACATGGCTTGTTACATACTGCACAGCAGAAGCAAGTATGCATAATGAGATTAATTGCTTTGCATATAGGATAGGCTTTGATCCGCAAGTTAGCGACTAATTGTTAAGTTCATTGGGAGCCTGTTGCACGTGCAGCAGCCCTGTAACTTACTATATAGTGGTAGTGGCGTTCTAACTGATCATATATATATATATATATCCATGGCTGCTGATTGGGCTCGAGAGAGATGCCTTATGGCACAAAGGAACGAGTGAGTTCCGTATGAACGATCGGTGAGCGCCCCCTACCATTACACCAGCAGGAGTGACAAGGCAAAATGGATTTTTCGGCGTGTTTAAATGTTAACTGTTTTGCACACTTACTTCACGCCTGAAGACGACTTGGGGAACCAAGATCGAAAATTTACAATAAAACTTGTTTATCTTTCCCAAAGAGCTTATTTTTTTAAAAAAACATACGCATATATAAACTTAGAATTTAGCAATAATATTTCTTATTATTCAAACAATTATTAGCGGTTTAAGACCTGTTAATACATACTGACAGTACTGTCTGTACGAAGTACGTACTTCGTCTCTTGCAGAAGCTTTTCAAGTTCGGTGGAAAGGGCCGCGATTACTTGAAGCACGCTGGAACTCAACGTTTCAAGAAAACGCCACGTCCGAATTTCGTATTATTCTGAATGGCCGATTAGATCCTAAATGCAAGGAACCTCTGAATAAAACTGTCTGCAAATGCTCAATGACCGACACTTTTCCAAATTCAGAGAATCACGTTCAGCTGGCTGTCTGCAAGTTGAACGAAATTTATGCCACCCGATGTGAACGCTTACTCAAAGAAAAATCTATTTTTCTTCCGCCTGAAGGTAAACAAACACAATAACGTTTAAAAAAAGATCGCTCGCTTATTTGCTACCCCTGCCAACACCTGGCCGCACCTTGTCGGTGTGGCCAGGTGTGGCCAAGCTCGGCCATGGCCACGCCAAATTTGAAGAAATGTCGGAGGACCTCCCAACCGTGTAGGTGACCACTTCTGCATTGCAAAGTGCTAAATCAGTCAAGATATATCCTATATCACTCATAAAGTACCACGAATCTGCATATTGTGAGCAATGGTTATGTCTCGAAATCAGGTGATTAAGGTGCTTTGTTTAAGTGGGCCAATGCGACGCCACATAAACGTCCCTGCCAGCACCAGCCGCAGCATAGCCGCACTTGGCCACACCATATTTGCCTCGGCCAAGTGCGGCCAAGTGCGGCTGGTGCTGGCAGGGACGTTTATGTGAATAATTTTGTTAATTGTTGACAGAAATATGGCAAAATAGTTAGATAAGTAATGAAGGCCGACATCTTTCAGCGATCCTAGAACGTGTTATAATTTCCTTAGATCAGAAAACGCTCGAGGCTCATTCTTAAGCATTTCGCTTTTTTATCTTCACACGAACACACTTGCAACACCTAAATATATTTTGAGACTGTTGTAAACTGCATCTCTCCAGATGATAGAGCACTTTAATCCCACCTTAGCACACAAATCCAATGCAAACCGAAAATCACGGAGGCATCAAATGCGGCAGGCCGTTGACCAGACAAACAGGATTATTTCGTTACGCTTGGAAAGATCGCTGCAAATTTTTCAGTCAATGAGTAATTTATTACCTTAATTACTGCAAAAGGCCATGATTTACCGCATTATTCAGAAAAAAACAGTCATCTGAATCACCAAAGGCGGCCGCATAGCAAAAAATATTAATGGACCGCTAGGGTTAAAAAAATCGAAAAGCACAGTCCAGTCTCGTGCGAGTTCTCATTATTTCTAACTTTAGAACTATTTTTGGTTGCATAAGTATTCATATGCGCGCAATATTTGTATTCGGTAATGAAAACAAGTCCAGCTCTTAAAAAAGGTTATTTGTGAATTTTGGAAGAAAAACTATCTAAGGATTTACAGTATCGTACGTGCGTGCTATTGCACAGACGTTTTAAATATTATGTTTCCGATTATAACTGATTAGCGAGAATTATATGATATCACACATACCTATATCTGTGTTCGCATGTCGTCCTTTTTACTCTGCTCCCAATATTAATGTGAAATCGGAGAGCTGGCGTACGTCGAACTTTCCGATATATTTTTTCGCAACAATTTTATTACTATAGATTACTGCAGAGGTCTTCTGCTTTTTTAACAATATTATATTTTGCAGATAACTGCATAAGAAAAGGAGCTGGCATTACGTGTGTGCCCTTATGCAATTTGTGTCTCTACAAATAAGGAATTGGGATGCAGATTCCATTCTCCAATAATTGCTCTTATAATGGCTAAAAACTTATTGCTGAGACATGGAATGCGAAATGCGACCAAAAGACGCCTAGACTGATTGCCCACCGCCACAGCCGTATCGACTAATCTGCATGAGTAACTGAGGTGATCGCCTGAAATAAACTGGATTGTCCGTTCATAGACATATTTAGCAAAAAGAGAGCCATCACTCAGTGCCTAATGAGAGTAATGCAATGTTCGCATTGCAGCTTGTTTCCATTTCCTTTTGACGCTAGAAGAATAAAATATGAATAAATTCTATAATGATAGGTTATGAAACCCAGGTATATGGTAAAAGCAGCCACCTTGTCGTTGATTTTGATACAGCATAAGAATATGATGTTTAATTAGACGACGTTGTCCACAATGTCGTCGGATTGGATGCGAAATGCAGTGTATGCAGCGTTGGGTGTCGGTTGATTCATGACCAACCATTTGTCCACATTGATGGTCAGTCCAAAGTTGCGTAAGTTAAAAGGTCAGAAGTTTCACGCTCAGTTGAGTGGACATTTTTGTCACAGTGTTGGATGCGCAGTAATCCCAAACAAGGGTCTTGGGGACAGCAGTTATAAAGGGTCTGGCGAGTTCTCAATGCGCCGGCTGTTGTTAGGATTTCCGTCGGCTCCGCAGGCAAGGCGGAACTGGGGCACTCATAATGGTAGGCATTCATTAACGTGGATGAGAGAGGTGAGGGAGGATGCTCAACTCTATTTCACTTTGTTGGTTAATGTAAATGTTTCTGAGACTGCTGACGGAAGCGAACAGGCGAGTTCCAGGTTGCAGTTCAGAAGACGATGATGCGATCACTGGAACAAGAAATTTATTTGCCTTACGCTTCGGATTCTCACTCGAATCCATCATCAAAGACATTCGCAGATATAGGTGATGGTGGCACAAGGAATGCCGTATTTATAGCACATGTCTGCCCTGGGACCATATGCACGCTGTAATTTACGGCTCTCGCAATCACCGCTGGGGTCGTAATTGATGCGGTTGCGGCTTGTCTGTCGGAGTCCGAGTCGTTAATGGCCGTGATTTCGTCATCTGTGCTGGACGCTGGTGTGACGATTGGTCGGCAAATCCCCTTTCTGTTACTGGGATAATTTCTCGCCCGCGCCACATCCACGTGACTGATTCCTCTGCTCAAGGAAAATCTCATCATGAGTTTGGCGCCACCGGAGACCTAGCGTCTCCCTGCGTCACTGCAGCCTTGAAAATGTGACTAATCACTCATGCATGTATGACCTTGACTGGATAGCCCAACATCTGGTGTCTTTCAATGAATTACGTTGGAATCTCTAACCTGCACTTTGTTTCGCAAAAAAAGTATGCTAGAATGTGGAAATGAACGGCGTAACACCGTCAAATAGCTCAAAACAAAAGCATCCAATAAACGTACGAATTGAATTCCCTTCCTACTAAATCTGCTCAATATTATTTAAGCACCTCTTTAAACTTGTTTGCCTAAAATAAATGCCCAAGAAAATTTTCACGTAACATCACAAAGTCCACGAGGCAAAAGGTAGATGGGGAACTCCAACAAAACACCCATATCGACAAGTTTGCGACCATCTTTGCGTTGTCAGTGTGAGCTTTCATAAATGCAGCAGAGGATGGGTCGAATTGAAAAGAGTGGGCTGTCATTCTTGTGGAAACTGTACCCAGATTGCATAGTCCAAGAAACGAGCTAAGTGTAGCGATGAAGAAAATGCTACTTACAGATTACCATAATGTGCTTCCAGTGCAGTGTATCTGGGCGAAACTGGGACGGCCCTCGCAATCATAACTGTTCAAAAATTGGAGGAAAATAGAACGTTATCTAAGTAAGTAGACAAACGTAATCTATATGCTTGTTAATATGCTGTTTGGACAAACGCCGTCTTATTTTTCCGTGTATTCAACGCATACAGCTTATTTCTCGAAGCTGAGCTGTAGGATGATTTATGTATCACGTTGCACATGGCTTCTTATGTCACATGTGTAATGTCAGACGGAATGACGGAGGCTGATGGTCATACTGTATGACACACAATTCGACGCAAACGCCAAGACATGGACAATTAGGCAACGGTATGGAGAAGGACCCCACTTAACTGTCAGTAGACCGTTAAACGTGCCATGCGTGGTTTGTGGTAAAGGGAGGTTTATGAGTGATGCACCACGCTAGACGGTAAGCTAAAAAAAATAAACGACAAAAATCGCCTGGATTTATGCCGAAAGTCTTATCTAGCGCCACTGTACGACGACGGAATTGAGAGTAGTAATTAAACAATAAACAAAAGGCAAATTTCACAAAATAGCAGATTTGGAGTTAAGGTGAGAGGTCGTGGAAATTAATCGTTGTTGGCAGTGTAATTTTCACAGCAGCCTGCAAATGTACGCCAAGACAAAACCGCATTTGACACGATCCACAGTCTACTGACAGTCAAGAGGGGTCCTTCTTTATACCGTTGACCACAATTATAAGCATTAATGACGTGCGTCTGTTAGAAACAAAATGCATAACGTAGTAGCTTCGGTAACAGTCAAGTGGAAGAAATTGGCTGCTCTAAATATGATGTCGACACCAACCTTTTCAATTGTCGTCTACAATTGGAGCACTCCTGTCTTTTAGGCTTTATATAGAGTATTTAAGAAATCTTATTAACGCCAAGTATTACGTTCTTGCTTAATACATCTAAGCCAAGCTCTGCTAAGCAAAGGTGCAAGCTGGACAAAAATGCAAATTGCCAATAATATTTCAACTAATTATGAGTAGAATTCCTTCACAGATGGGAGGTTACCGCTGAAGTAAATGGCCAAGCAGTCCTAAAATTACTTTGGATGGAAAAATTAGTGATCACTGAAAGGCGTGTTCTTTTTTAACTACGAGTGCGAGTGATCAGAAATTTGTTACAAGGATCATTTACTGCCGTGGCATTTGACAATACGTAAATTAATTTGCGTGGAAAACTCTTGTTCGGAGTGTGGTTAAACTGTGCATTACTCTATGAATGTGGACGAGTACATACAAACTGCGACCTATGGTAGCTGCCCAGACTTTTCACGTCCATTTTAACAGCATATTCATCTTTGAAAACAAAATCTTGGGTTGCAGGCTGCAGAACATAAATTGGAATTCATAATTAATGTGCCCTGAACTTACATGAGCCCACATGTGCATTAAATTAACCAACTGACAAATGTCGATATGTTCTACGTGGACGTCCTGGGTACCTGTCAACCGGTACATACGCAAAAGGGACGAGAGGCCTAACCCCACGGACATCAAATTTTGGCGAACGCTTTCGTATGTCAAAACCGTTTCGGAAGCTGTCGGCTACCTTCTCGCACCACTTGGGCTTGGAGTTTCACGCAGACCGAAGGCAACCATCAGGCGTCTGGTGATGAAACCGAAAGACCCGCTGCCATAGATAGAAACGTCTGGAGTCGTTTATGGGATATGATGCAATTGCGGACAAAGCAACTACGTCGGAAAAACTGTAAGAGAGCTCTGAACGAGGATGACCAAACAGGCTGCAGAGGTGCGGAGAAAAGACGCCAGCTCACAAGTCGCGGCTCGTTCGACGCGATCCCGACACGCATTCAGATTCGACGAGGCTGAAATTCTCGAAAGACGTGAAAACCGCATGAGCCGGGAGCTACTTGAGTCATGGTTTACTGGGGTTCAGGACATTAACAAGTACAAAGACGTTCCCCTTCCAGACTCGATGCTGAGACTCCGCCTAGGCGCAGTAATTAACCGCGCGGGGAACCCACCGTAAAGACAGTTCCCAACGCCAGGTTCGGTGGGTCAGATGGTCGAGCTGCCATCACGCCATCATCCAACGTGAGTGATGGAGTTGTAGCAGTTAACGACGCGAATGTCGGTCATCAAGCAGTCAGCACACCACGTGCAACGATCCCTGATGAAGGGGGGAGACGTGAACATTCATAAGTTTGCGGTAGCATGTCGACTGCATCCTATAAATACAACACCCCCTTGTGCATGAACCAACCGCATCTGCTTTGACTCTGATGATGGGTTCGAGCAGGAATTCGAAGTGTCAGGCTAATAAAGCTCTCATCCCAGCGATCGTGTCTCCTTCTGCTTCCCGGGACTCGCCTCTTCTCTTCCACTGGCCATCTGTGTTATTTTCCTCATTCAAATTCGGAAGAGATTCATATTTGCGGGGGAAGGTACGGAGAGTGTTTTGTTATCGATACAGGCGAAGATGCGAGTTCCAGGAGCTAGTTGATCAGAAGACGAAGCGATCGCTGGAACAAGGGACCTTGCTTCAACGATTGCTTCTTCTTCTTCTTCTTCTTCTTCTTCTTCTTCTTCTAATCGGTGTTATATTAAGTTGCATGCGAATTCTTAAGGGTTAAGACTGCGATAGCGGTAAAAATCAAGCAGAAAATGACATACAATTTGGTGCAGACACTGGACAATCAAGTATTCAAGCGCTCTGCAAGTCACATGTTAAGCGCAAAATAAACCAACCAGTCAGGCATATTTTGAAACTTGCGTCTAAACAACTGCTTTACGCCTCCTTTACTTTTGTAACAACGTGTGGGATCGGCGTAAACACTTTCTTCGCCAAAGATCTCAGCAGGTTCCATATAGTATTACTGAAGAATTGCTTCGAGAGACAATTATTACGTCAGGTATCGAATCAACAAACTGTAATTCGCATAGTAAAATACACATTAATACTTGAATGACGCAAACTGAACAAAATAGTTAATTCGGTTTGGAATGGTTGGTCATAATTACGCGAAATTTCAGTGACGTTATGTAAGGATTTATGACAGACTGGAAATAATTAAATACACTGATGATTGTAACCACAAATCGGTACTCTAATGACGTAATTTCTTTTGAATGATGAGATATGATTAAACCTTGAAAACACCGTTTCATGTTCAAAGTCGAGTTCTTTTTGATATTTACTTGCCTGAACTTAATGTTCCCTATTATCCGAAATTTCAGCACCAAGCTCCTTTAGTGCAGTGGCAGTTGACAGTCAGAGCATCGAGTTTGGCTGGAAAACTCCCGCTCAAAATATGGTTGGACTGCATATACGTCTCTGGGTGTGGACAAATGGGACTCCAGTCGTAACACTAGTGGATGCCTCAGTCGGTGCCCAGAAGCGTACAATGAGCGGTCTAAGTCCTCTGACGGAATACAATACCGCTCTGTCTTTTTTTAACAGTAATAACAATTTGGAGGACATCCGCAACCAAACTATTAAAGTCCTAACGTTTCCAAACGGTGAGTCAACCTCTGTTTCATGAAAAGAAATGCAAAACAATTTTTCTCATCAAGACAAACCCCATCACTTAGCAATCAGTATAGAAGACAAACCTTAAGGTATATTGGCCTGACGCTTCGAATTTGCTTTCGCACAGTAATCAAATATAGTCTCAGATAACATTTCAGTTGGATTTGAAAGTCCGTTCGACAGAGGTTTTGGTTAGATCATATTTCGTCGCCGCACCTGTTGTGGGATCGGGTTTAGGGTTAGCGGGTTAGTGTTAGGGGTTGCAGTTAGGGGTAAGGGTTAGATATTAGTGTTAACGATATGGTATGGAGTTAGGGGTAAGGGGTAGATGTTAATGTTAGGGGTTAGTGTTAAACCGCCTACTACCGCCGGTCCCAAAACACATACGGCTGCGGCTTGCCCGCTGTAGGTTTGGCTATGAAATGGGATCCGACCGGTTTTTCCTTAGAAACTCTTATCTAATGTGCTATGTCGCAGAGAAAACTGCCTTAATATGTTTCCTTTGCAGTGTTATTAGCAAAATACGCATGTTGCGTGCGATGTCAATAAGCCACGGAAAACGTTTAAGTCGAGGCTTGGGAAAACAAACTACTATAGTTTATGGAAAACAGTTGTACACACGGCAAGTAACAGGTGATCCTGGATTGTCGTTGACGAAGGTATCAGATAAAATATCTAATGTTCTGCTGGAGAACTAGTTTTGACAATCGATTAATGCAGTCAGAAGTATTCTATCCTTAATAAGTAACACAATGCTAATCGGGCCTTTAACCACACAGTAACACTGCTGACATTTCCGGGCGGCAAACAATCCTTATTTCATAATCAGTAAACCAAATAATTTTCTTCTTAACGTGTGAACTGTACTCCAACTGAAAAAGGAAGGTCTTAATTAATAGAACGTCTGCCGAAAAGACATAATGATACGCGTATGTGTATTGGTTGAGTCCACCGATTCGACATCGACCTTTGTTTGTTATTTGAAGCGATTAGTATCCAGCTTATACATACTTTTTCAAATCCATCATTTTTCTGACCATTAAAGCGCCAATAATAAAAGTCTCCGATGTTGGTGGCAGCTGGATGAGGGTTACATTTGAGCCCACATTAAAGGCGGATTCATTCGATCTCATTAATACTGCTGTGGCGATGGACGCGGCCGGAACCAAGACCAGTTGCTCCGTCTCGGCAAGTATCCGGGAAATCAGCTGTGACATTGAGAGTCTCAGGTCTGAAACGGAGTACAGCATTATCGCTAGAACCTGCGTTGGGATGCACTGTAGTGTGGACTCGCCAGCCATTACTGTAAAAACATTGACAGTAGGTAAGTAAAGGAAATTTAACACCACATTTTATGAACGGAGAGTCTATATACGGCAAAAGAAAACCAACGCTGCATTCTTTAGTCACGTTTATTGCATTTCCGTATGAAGCGTTTACTATATAAAGTAATAGGCGAAGCGTTCGAGCAATCTCATTAAAAATGAGGCGCAATTTACAACTGTTAACAGAATAAACCACTTTATAACACTGTAAGTGTTTGTGTAAATTTTTCAACTGTGAACATATCATGAAGCATAATGTCGGTGATTACATGTTAACAAAAAATCGAATGTTACATCAACTCACCATTAAATACCTGGTTAGCATACATTTGCTGTCCACGTTGTATAAAAAATAGTCAACGTCAATGTGTAAGGTAAAGAAGGTAGTTTTGCACTTTACCGGTAGAAAGGAGGATTTGGATATCCTACTGAATAAACTCGCAACGCGAGAAATTTTCATAGACTTAGAGAACTGCACCGAGTGGAGGGCGGACACACAACTATACGTAATAGTTCCTGAAAGACTCAGAAGAATCGCCCAGTCATTCTGTGGGACAGCAGCCTGTGTACATTCATAATTACTGATGACAATTTCTGTTAATATAAGAGACAAACTGAAGTTCTTAACATAATATCCGATGCAAAATAAAGGCTTCGATGGAATTGTATTAATTCTAGCGGGGCTATAAAAACTCGCATTTAAAGCGTTGTGCTTCGAATAATTTGTCTAAAAAACGGCTTAAATGATCAGTACTAGTTAAATATTTAAAGTTATTTCCAAAAGGTTGTAAGGTGTGCCTCGAATCAAAATGCATATTTCGAATAACAATATATTCATATTTTTGAGTAACACGACAGTTTGCGTTCAAGAAGGCTGGGTGTCTGCTACGAATAGTGATCTACGCGTTAAAGGGCTAGTATGGTGTCTATAAGAACAGCATTTGCGTTATCAGCGTTTTACAATAGCTAAAGATGAATGCATGTGAGACATAAATGTAACACCAGTGATGAACGAAACGCCAAAATGTGGGAAGATTGTGCTTAAATGTAGTCAAACAACTGTGAATAGAGAGCATTGGAATTTTGCGTTGGGAATCTTTCCCTGAATAAATGTATTAATTCAGCAAAGCAAAATGATGCCAATTTTCATCCCTAAATGTGTAAATACTGAAATGCGCAATAGTACGACGTCATTATGCCGGGATAGCTGTACCGCCATGTAGAAGAGATTTGGACAAATATAGATAATATGAAAAGCAGTTCCAAACAGAGCTCTGATTATTGAAAAAGTAAAAGCGCCGAATGCGCAAAACCTGCAATCTAAGACAGTGATTAATTCAAAGGAAAGTTGGGGGATTGGACAGAAAAAGAGCCAAAAAAGATTATGCTGACTGTTAGAAATATAAAGGATTACATCCATATTGACAGAAAGCAACTGCATTCCTAGGCGAACAAGATAGACAATGTCACTTAGATGCTTTTGTGCATAAAGGCCAGCATTGCAGATGAAATGGGTGGGAGGAAGGAGACCGAAAACTGCTTGTTGCGTTGGGCGATCGTAGATCTGATGACGTGCTCACAGCAGATGACAAACACGAAGAAAATTATTGTATTGGCTTTGAAAAGCCAGCGCAGAATGAATAGTGCAATTTCGCCAGGAAGCCAGAGAGCGACTTGCAGGATAATTTGAAGACGCTTAAGATCAGTAATGAACGAGCAGAAATCAGACCATGCATTGCATGTTTGTGATGATAAAAAGACAGTTTGCCCGCATCATTCTGAAAAAAACCTAAAAATGCACAGACGTTTGAGCCATTAAGCGCAGTTTTTTGCCAGACGTTTGCCGCAGTCAGTTCATCTCGTCATGAACAATAAAAAGAATTAGTTGCATGTCACACTGTAGTCCATGTAACTGCTGATTAGCCGTACGTGGGAAGGTGCCTATTCCCATTAATCGTCCAGTATTGATACATATACTGCGTTAGGAGATATAACAACTGTATCTGGATGGTGCAACATATGACTGATAATGTTGCATCCCGTCAGTCTTTAATGCATTTCAGCTATTGCATTTTTGATTCTGGTACAGTTACGAAGACCACGCCCGTGTCCACTGCAACACCGACCGGAGGTAAGCTGGCATTTGATGATTTTTCAATGCTAGTAACTTAATTCATAGACCGCCAGTATAGAATATTTCATTTGGATGCTTTAGTGCACAATGTCCAGCATTTCAGGTTAAGTAGGTAGGAAGAAGGAGACCGAAACCTGCTTGTTGCGTTGGGCGATCGTAGATCTGATGACGTGCTCACAGCGGAGGACACACGAAATTAATGCATGCATTTTGAATAGTCAGCGCAAAATGAATACTGCAATGTCGCTAGGCAGCCGGTGAGCGACTTGCAGGATAATTTACAGACGCTTAAGATCAATAATGAACGAGCAGACATCGGACCATGCATTGCATGTTTGTGATGATAAAAAGACAGTTTGCCCGCATCATTCTGAAAAAAACCTAAAAATGCACAGACGTTTGAGCCATTAAGCGCAGTTTTTTGCCAGACGTTTGCCGCAGTCAGTTCATCTCGTCATGAACAATAAAAAGAATTAGTTGCATGTCACACTGTAGTCCATGTAACTGCTGATTAGCCGTACGTGGGAAGGTGCCTATTCCCATTAATCGTCCAGTATTGATACATATACTGCGTTAGGAGATATAACAACTGTATCTGGATGGTGCAACATATGACTGATAATGTTGCATCCCGTCAGTCTTTAATGCATTTCAGCTATTGCATTTTTGATTCTGGTACAGTTACGAAGACCACGCCCGTGTCCACTGCAACACCGACCGTCGGTAACTTGATATTTGATGATTTTTCAATGCTAGTAACTTAATTCCTAGGCCACCAGTATAGAAAATTTCATTTGGCTGCTTTAGCGCACAATGTCCAGCATTTGGGTTGAAGCAGTTAGGAAGAAGGAGAGCGAAACTTGCCTGTTGCGTTGGGCGATCATAGATCTAATGACGTGCTCACAGCTGATGACAAACGAAATTATTGCATGCATTTTGAAAATTCAGCGCAAAATGAATAGTGCAATTTCTCTAGGCAGCCGGTGAGCGACTTACAGGACAATTTGCAGACGCTTAAGATCAGTAATGAACGAGCAGAAATCAGACCATGCATTGCATGTTTGTGATGATAAAAAGACAGTTTGCCCGCATCATTCTGAAAATAACCGAAAAATGCAAAGACGTGTGAGCCTTTAATCGCAGTTTTTTGCCAGACGTTTGCCGCATTCAGTTCATCTCCTCAAGAACTATAAAAAGATTTAGTTGCATGGCACACATTAGTCCATGGAATTGCTGATTTGCCATACGTGGGAAGGTGCCTATTCCCATCCGTCGTCCAGGATTGATACATATCCTGCCTTAAGAGATATAACAACTTTATCTGGATGGTGCAACATATGACTGATAATGTTGCATCCCGTCAGTCTTTAATGCATTTCAGCTATTGCATTTTTGATTCTGGTACAGTTACGAAGACCACGCCCGTGTCCACTCTAACACCTTTCGAGGGTAAGCTGTTATTTCCTAACTTTTGATTGTCGCATCAGTCTCTTAACATTTTAGACATCTTCTCGATTTGTCGGTATATGTCTTTACTGGATGTGGGCTTGTTTG